ATATATATTAATTAAATAATATATATATATATATATATATATATATATATAAACATAAGTGAACATATTACCCATAAACAAAAAATCGAGTGCATCAAAACAAACCTGTACTACAGTATACGCGCCTAATCACATTTGTGCTCAGTCAAGGGTACACGCACCTGAATACGCTTTACCTTTAACAACGAACACTCATGAGTAGGCAGCCCTATACCCTCTTCACAATCATTGATGAGGGCGTTTCGCATGTTTCCCACACATTTTGACACAGATGTATACGCATATATTCAATACATGCACAGACGTACGTACAGTACACACTTCACGCTTGCAAGCATTACATAACAAGCTCACGTAAACAAGTACCTTCGATTACCAGCTGCCCCTCGTGAATGGCAAGGTAGGCGACGCTGACCTTTTCTCCATTCGTGTCCGTATCTAGATTGGCAGACACCAACGCATAGCTTCGATGCGAAGCTGTCTCAGATAATACGTACACACGTTAGCAATGAACCAGTACGTGTTAGCATACATATGAGATTAAAGGGGAAATGCGTGTGTATGGGTGAGCGTATAAGATGTGTGTGGTAGAATATGCGTAAGTCTTCATCAAACTTGCACATACGTGGGCACATGCCCGAGTGCTCGCGAAGTGAGCGATCCATTACCGGAATAGGATCTATCACATGATAACCGACAAACCAGTACATATACGAATAATAGAGGAGGGTGTGGTAAGGGACACAGCACGAGCAATTCAGATACGTCGGACATACCAAGCTCATTCTCGTAATCGGGCTGGAACCAAAACTCGAAGGTATAGTTACTATCCAAATACAAACTCCCCATATTGAGGATATTATCTTGACCGGCAATTCTCAGAGCATGCCCTCCATTGTCGAATATAATGGTATTGTTTGGGACTATAGCCTCACTGGACGCGTTAACAGTTTGCCCTAGTCCTACATTCGGCGGAAGGAAAAAAGGATATTATATTAGGAGAGAAAAGCGCGCATTCGCCCTGAGATTCAAAACTACATGGAAGCTTATTGATTCAAAAATACAATTGGCACCAGTTCGCGTGAAACGATGCGCGATCTCGCTACCTGAAAAATTCATAACTAAACGAATAAATATAAAAGTCGGTAAAAATGCATATAAATATATTTAATATATATATATATACGACTATAGATAAATATATATATATATATATGAAGGTATCTATCAAACCATCAATATATAAATATATATAT